CCAACCGTATTAGTTGTATCTGTAGTAAAAAAAATTGTGAAAACATGTTTAAATTGAGTGTACTATTTCTCATCAGATTTTCCAAGAAGATAAAAAGACTTTGATAGATGATGCACACAAAGCACAGTCAATTCCTCTCTAACTGTTAACTTTCTTATTGATTCTACTTTCACCTTGATATGAGGTAATAAGGATCAACATACTGCTTTAAACTATTGTTCCAAGGATGGTTTTATGATTAAATCAGGTTATTTATAGCCAATTTATGTACTAAAAGAGCTTAGAATTACTTTATTTGCAGTGCAACATGAGACATAAGATGTATTCACAATATTTTTAAAAGGTGCGTCGAAAATAAAATAAATTAATGTTAAACCTCACTATGGCTGACTATATTGGACTAAATATAATCTCAGTTAAATAATTACATTTACAAATGGTGACTATCCAGGTGTAAATTCGTAGGTAGCCCAAAACTGCATAATCAAGTGAAATAATTCTTCGTAAGTAAAAAAAATCAATAACCCACTAGCATTAGTTGAGAAGATTTTGGGACTTTATTTTTGATAAGATCTACGAGTAGTAACTCCAAGCTTCCGCATAATTCATCTTTGTACTGACTACATAAACCCACATTCCGCAATAAAGTATAGTTTTGAAGTGTTTACGGATTACTATGTTTAATTGGTAATCAATATTCCTCTATGGTGGTGCAAACTGTGTCCTGGAACAGATAATTATGTCATCACCTGCAAGGTTCAAAATAGCTACCTGTATTACAGTGTATAATCAACACAATAGCTGGTTTCTATGAAAAATAACATTGTAATATTTAAAATGTGTATACACAGGTAGGCTTGCAATGTAATATAAATCAGTGGAGATACATACACGCGTCAGTCAATTTCACACTCGGCGGGACGTGGGATAAATGTCACAATCAAAGGCCACTAAATTGCAAATCCTTCGGTTACCGAGCTACAAACTGGCTTTTTGAATTTTAAGCATTCTGCTGATATAATTTATGATTGGTTTGCATATTATATCGAATGCTATTACCGAGGCCATTAATGGATGCGCTCAATTTCCTTTAATCGTGTAATATACCTGCACGTGGACCAAGTGATTAAATATCACCGATTTTATAAACAGTAACTCATAAATACATTGATATAATTAATACACGAGGAGCTAAACGTATAAAGTTTCCAAGGTGAAGAAGAGAAATCAATCTGTTTCGTATTTCTTGATTTATTTTGATCCAAAGAATTGGAAAACCTAAAAAATGTTCTTTAATCAAACTAAAAAATCTTATCCTTGCAAGTGTTTTTTCTTTTAGTGAATTTCCCTATAGGGAAGTAGCTATTACCGTAGGTGGCACGGTAAGACTTAGGCCCGGGACCGATTTACTTTTTCATTTTGATGTCCCCAGAGGCCAAAAACACCATTCGTTCAAATTTGTATAAATATATATATATATATATATATATATATATATATATATATATATCCGTGAACGCGATAACTTGAGTATTTTTTTCCAATTTTGATGAAATTTGGTTGAAAGGTGTAAGGCGGGATAAACTTGAATGAGTTCGCAAACCAGCATGATCGGACCATGCAAACAGGGTTTTACTGGAAGTTTTATGGGGTAAAAATTGGGTTTTCTCATTTTTGACCCTCATAACAAAAAATTTTCCAATTTCTCCTTAGACATTTTTAAAGAGTCAAAAAAACAAATAATTTAGTAAATCTAAGTATTTTTGTAGAATTATTGGTTACGAAGAAAAAAACTTAATTTAAAATTCCGACGTCGTTCTAATGGAGAATATTGTAAAATGTTGTAGTTTGCTTGTTTATGGATATATTTTGATCCAACTTGGCAAATTTATTTATTTTATACTAAGCTATTAATATTTTACGAAAAACACACTTTATTAGTTTCCTTGTAGCAGCAAACCTAGGTACTCATTAATCCTAATGTTATTTAAATATATTTGATTGAAAATCAATTCAGAAAAATGGAAATTCGCTTAGTCGGCAGGTTTGCTGCGGCGAGGGTATTTTTATTTACAATTACTTAAAATCAATTAAAATTGATTGAGCGGATTTCACTATGGTAATTTCATAATTAATGTAATCTGCATGGTAGGAAGTTTTCCTATTTAAATGTTATATGGAAAGTATAATGGATGGCCATACGAGAGTTATATGCCATTAACTAAGATCAATCAAGTATATATCAAAATAATTACAAAATAAAAATAATAAAAAGGTTTACATTATTTTTAAAGTGTAAGCCTCATCCCGACCACCAGTAAATATATCTGTAATATGCTCATGTCACGTGGCATTTATTAAATATAAGAAGGAGCAGAAGATGAGTTTTCATCCGGTTTGTTTTCGTCTCCGAGTGCTGAATCATGTGTTTACCGTTCATATTTACTTTCAAGCCTCTGTCAAGTAATATGTTTTAGCGTATGTCTTCTAGAAGGAATTATGTTTATCCAACGTAAAAATACGAGTCTGTCATTCCCAGGTTGTCGTCATTGTAAAAGTGTTGATCTTTCCCACTCCATGCCGGTTGATACTTTTATAATAACTCAGGTGAAAAGATTGGTATTTTCTTATTTAATATATCTTGAACGATCTACATTGTGAAGCTCTTGTATTTGTGTGTTTGTTTCAGTACAGTAGCCAGAGCAGGTATTGTGAGGCCTTTGTATTTGTTTGTTTGTTTCAGTACAATAGCCACAGCAGGTATTGTGAGGCCTTTGTATTTGTTTGTTTGTTTCAGTACAGTAGCCAGAGCAGGTATTGTGAGGCCTTTGTATTTGTTTGTTTGTTTCAGTACAGTAGCCAGAGCAGGTATTGTGAGGCCTTCGTATTTGTTTGTTTGTTTCAGTACAGTAGCCAGAGCAGGTATTGTGAGGCCTTTGTATTTGTTTGATTGTTCCAGTACAGTAGCCAGAGCAGGTATTGTGAGGCCTTCGTATTTGTTTGTTTGTTTCAGTACAATAGCCAGAGCAGGTATTGTGAAGCCTTTGTATTTGTTTGTTTGTTTCAGTACAGTAGCCGGAGCAGGTATTGTGAGGCCTTTGTATTTGTTTGTTTGTTTCAGTACAATAGCCAGAGCAGGTATTGTGAGACCTTTGTATTTGTTTGTTTGTTTCAGTACAGTAGCCAGAGCAGGTATTGTGAGGCCTTTGTATTTGTTTGTTTGTTTCAGTACAGTAGCCAGAGCAGGTATTGTGAGGCCTTTGTATTTGTTTGTTTGTTTCAGTACAGTAGCCGGAGCAGGTATTGTGAGGCCTTTGTATTTGTTTGTTTGTTTCAGTACAATAGCCAGAGCAGGTATTGTGAGGCCTTTGTATTTGTTGGTTTGTTTCAGTACAGTAGCCAGAGTAGGTATTCTTAGGCCTTTGTATTTGTTTGTTTGTTTCAGTACAGTAGCCAGAGCAGGTATTGTGAGGCCTTTGTATTTGTTTGTTTGTTTCAGTACAATAGCCAGAGCAGGCATCGTCAGGTTAGCCGCTGACTCGCTAAAACGTCTCACCCTCACCCTCACTGACTTGTAAGTTGACTCTGTTGGTAATTGACCTAGGTAAATACAATAACGTTATACAGATACAATAAAAGCACCCTGTACTTAATAGCATTATTAGCTTATAAGTATGTTTATATGTATAAACTGAAATATACGATATTGGGCAGATCATCGATATCCGGTAACTCCAAAGACAATTTCTTCATTTTTAAATTTCAAAATCGCCCTCATCCAACACAGCAAAAGATCGGCTTGAGCTCAAGAATACTCAAAAGTATCATACTGCTCAAGAAGGTTCTCTTCTGAAGGATCAACTTTAAAACTTTAACATAGTTAGGGAAATTATATTACTGTAATTAAATGACAACAGGACATGTGAAGTGTTTTTTAACTCTCTAAAAATTATATTTTGGGTATAGATAACCTTGTCTTTCAACATCAAAATATTGTTGAAACTCCTACCAAATCCTCAACATAAAAGAAGAGGAATGGTGGTGGTTGTTGTTGTTGACTTATTATTCTTAATACCAAGTCTATTCTATGGGCGAGCCCTCTTTTATATTAGATACAGTTGTTTATTCACAGGTCATCAGTTTATTTTCCGGGCTTCTTTCCCTTCATACTAAGAGAGTAATAACGTATAATGTTATACCTTAGTTTAGTTAAATTGCAGGTTTTATAAGTTTGTGTAGGTTAGTTTACAAATATAAAAAAGGAATTACCAGTGCATGAAATACGATTAGTCTTATTTATTCAAAAAATAAAACTAGGAGTACGCTTTAAAGTCACGTATGAGAAAGAAGACTGTTCTATTCATACAAATTGGTTTTGATATGCACTTCGTTCCAATTATGAGTACTTCGTTCATTCGATTATGGAAAAACGTTATATTATTCAAAATAGTGTAAATGAGCTATAGCTGGTAATTGGTGGAATGTAGTTCAGAGAATACTACGGGTACTGCCAAATCACTCTTTATACTATTTAATCAACCGATACCACGAGTCTGTGGCCTGCAGCTTTTATCAACAGAAACCCGATCCAATGAATAGAAACATGAGTTTACAAACGGATAAGCTTTAAGACAGAAGTCAGTATTTGTATCCACCGTTTTGAAAAAAGATTTGGAACAAAACTAACTAACTTATTGTTGGTATAAGCAACAATGTAAATGTTTTTAATTGAAGTATGAATCCATGCAATATTGCAAGTAATAGTTAATTTCGGTAAGTATTCATTTAATAAATCTACAATGCTTAAGATATACCTTTTACTGTAGGGGTGGATCTATTTTACTATAGGGTGGACTATATTAAAAGTTTTTTTTTAAATATGGTCTTCTAAAGAGTTAAGAATCGTTCCCTTTAATCGTTCAATAATGCATGTTCCTTATATTATTCTGTTTCTTGAATTTGCATATAAAGATTTAACAACCTTGCCTTATTTCAGTTCTATGATAGATGTGTACCACTTGACAGAGCTTGAAGAGGGAGTGTTCAACAACCTAACTCAGCTTCAGGCAATGTAAGTATCAAGATATATTCCCTTTTAAGTAATTAATTCATTGAGTCTACAGCCTCTGATATCTAGGCTACTTTCTTGACAAGGATTGCTTGATTTTGTAATACATGATTTACAATCAGGAATATCAGTAGATACTGGGTGTCTAAGAACAGAAAGCTTAAGAACAGGCAGACTTTTTTATGTTAAAAAACTACTAATTTTGAAATGCAGTGGAAACTTAAATCTATGGTTTCCCTTGTACTCACTTTATTTGGAGAAGTTATTAAATAAGAGTATAATTTGTTTAAATACAAGTATAAATACAAAATCCGATTGATATTCGTTATAGATCATGTGAATATTGTTATGTCTGCATTCATACGACTAGCATCTATTGGACAAGATCTTGTACTTATTTATTTTAAATTGTATCTTTCTATTTTTTTAGTTCAGCTTTCGTGTCTTGGAACCTTAAGCCAATTTCCCGCCAACCACTGATGTGTTTAAGCTATATTGTTACTGACACGACCTAGTGGTTCGGAGCCCACCTAAGCTGTTGTCCCATCAAAGACATACAATAATATTATTTTCATTATTTATACATACATACAACGCAAAAGCTATAAAAATACATGAACCTATTAGAGATAGTCAAAAACTATAGTATAGTTGGAAATGTATGATTGACCATAACTTTTAAGTTTTCATACACTGAGTCTCGCAAGCTAAAGCGATTTTACGTTTAGTTGTAATAAACTTGGTTTTGAATAGTTTTCTTATCTCTCTGTTTCATAAAGTTTGTGCAAATAAAACTTCAGACAAATTAATTAAGTATTACTATGAACGATTATATGTGTTGTAAACTTTAGGTATTTGTTGTGTGAGTATTTTTACACTTTTGGTAGTGTTAAAGTGTACTATTATGTTATTTTAATAGGTTTCATTGATTAGAAATACTTTATTTTAGACTCAGTTACTTTATCTTGGACCCTGTATGAATGGTCTATATTTTGTGTTTACGATTGGCGTTCATTTAAGTAAAAGACCATTTAAAATTTGTTTAGGTACACGATAAAATAGCCTTAAAAATAATTTTGAACTTGAATGAGGTTTCTCTATTTTTCATATAATAGTTTTCTAATGTAACAAGTGGCTCATTATTAACGAAGACACTTAATTTAATTTGTCATTATGATTGTGTCTATCTCATAACTCACGGGTTTATTGTAAGACTAGCTGTACCCGCGGGCTTTGCCCGTTTAACTTCTTAATTTTCAAGATGAGCTCGTTCGCATGGCTCAATCACGTCCTGGTTGAAGTTCGTTCGCTACGCTCACTCACTTTTAGGTTGGAGCTCGTTCGCTGCGCTCACTTGCCTTCAGGTTAGCTCGTTCGCTACGCTAACTCGCCTCCAGGTTGAAGTTCGTTCGCTACGCTCACTCACCTAGCTGTTGTCATAAATTAAAAAAAAAATAATAGTGCTGCACCCTGTTGGTAATCCTCGTAACTTTAATGCTATTGCACATCATAGAACAGAACCAACTTGTTTAACTGAAACAGCTGTTAAAAATATGAGTACTCATAAGGTTAACATGGGAAACTCCAGAGCCACGGAGCCCGAGAGTCCGATCAGAATAAAAACTACTTAGTTTTCCTATTTAATGCCTAAAGAATCAGTGTACCAAATTTCAGCCTCCTAGGCAAATGGGAAGTGGGAGAATTAGTGATGAGTGAGTGAGTCAGTCAGTCAGTCAGTCAGTGAGGGCTTTGCCTTTTATCTAATATATATAAATATAAAATTCTCGTGTCACAGTGTTTGTCTGCAAACTCCTCCGGAACGACTTCACCGATCGTTATGAAATTTGGTGTGTAAATTCTGTAGGTATGCGAATCGGACGTAAACTATTTCCCGTTTCGAAATTCTTAAAAGGGCTCCGCCCCAGTGGCTCTGGAGTTTCCCATGTTAACCTTATGAGAAATGGAATTAATGAATCTTAACAGCTGTTTCAATTAAACAAGTTGGTTCTGTTCTATGATGTTCAATAGCATTAAAGTTACAAGGATTACCAACAGGGTGCAGCACTATTATTTCTTTTACATTTATGACAACAGCTAATTTGCAACCAAAAGGTGAGTGAGCGTAGCGAACGAACTTCAACCTGGAGGCGAGTGAGCGTAGCGAACGAGCTAACCTGAAGGCAAGTGAGCGCAGCGAACGAGCTCCAACCTAAAGGTGAGTGAGCGTAGCGAACGAGCTCCAACCCAAAGGTGAGTGAGCGTAGCGAACGAACTTCAACCAGGACGTGATTGAGCGATGCGAACGAGATCATCTTGAAAATTAAACGTAACGGTACTTTCTTTCAATCGGTCTGTCTTAGGGGAAACCTATAACTTAGGCGATACGAAGTTCGCCGGGTCAGCTAGTATATATATAGTTTTTGTCCCGAAAACATTTGAATTTTCTTAGACGTATTTTTAAATTAAGCTGCAGACCATTTTCATGGAGGATATTTATAGTGAGCCCTTAATACATCTTCACCAATAAAAAATCAGGCAAATAACAACATCATTTACATTAAATTATTGATGCTCGTAATTCTAATCGTGATTTCTTTGTACCAGTTATAAGAAACTTACCATACCGAAGTCTCTCATAATTTTTGGAAATGGGGTGATTTATTTATGTTTGGGTGTACGTTGTGACGTAAATAAATCTCTAGTCTATGATAACCGAGGAGGAGTTTTCGCGATAAGCTGTTGTCATGGATCCCACATGTCCCTAACAAGCTTCGTAAAACCGCTTATCTCCTGACCTTCGTTACAACACTCACTGCCAAATTGTAACTGTATACTGTAATTGCTCAGTAGCGAGGCATGATAACCACAAACCGTAATTTTTTTTATGTTTAAATAATTACCAATTAGTTTATAAATGTAGGTATTTTTGTCAATACGAGACATTTATGATAACATTACTCTAAACACGATTTTTTGTAAACGGTTAGCAATCGATTGAGAACAATTTGTATGTTTTACAACGATGCACCAAATATTCGTTGGGATTCATCAATATTTCTTTAGTTTTGAGATGGGTGAATATAAATGATAATGATAATAAATATAACAATAAGACATGATGTTGTTTTTGTTGACTTTTTGTTGAGGCAAGTAAAACAAAGAAGCCTGACGTGTTGATGGCAAAATTTTAAATCTGTTCAATTTTTTTGTTACAGATATATCAGTCGAGCCCCACAACTAAAAAATGTGTCTCCTCATCTATTCAACGTGGAGCTGAAAAGTTTAAAGATTATGTAAGTATGTTGATTATGAAAAAATAATAAAAATGCATCGAAGAATGCACATAAATAGTATTAGTGTGTATAGTAATTTAATACGCATTGATTATTGTAACGCGACGATAAGTGTTTCATTATCTATACAGTGTGTAAATTAAGTCTGGCACACATTTTTTATCTTTTTTTTCTATAGTAGATTTAGTAGTTTTTTTTGCACCCTATCCAAGATGGCGGTTTAAAATGTACTTAGGGTTGAACGGGTAAATTAGGTATGGCACACATTTCTTATCTTTTTTACTCTTTGTAGATAGAAGGAATTAATTTGCGGGACTGAGTAAGAACAAATGTTTGGCACTTTTTCATAATTTTGGAAAAAATTCCCCTTAAGGGTAAGGTGGGAGTGTAAAAATTTTCAAATAACAACCCCCATCTTGTGACCCCTCATTTTAAAGGTATTTGGAAGACAAATTTAACGATGTGTCTGAAAATTTTTTTTTTGCATCCTGTCTAATATGGTGGCTTAAAATGTACTTAGGGTTGAACGGGTGAATTAAGTCTAAACACATTAAAATTTTTTCAGACACATCGTTAAATTTGTCTTCCAAATACCTTTAAAATGAGGGGTCACAAGATGGGGGTTGTCATTTGAAAATTTTTAGTTACCCCCACCCCCACCTTACCCTTAAGGGGAACTTTTTTCAAAATTATGCCAAAAAGTGCCAAACATTTGTTCTTACTCAGTCCCGCAAATTAATTCCTCCTAATCTACAAAGAGTAAAAAAGATAAGAAATGTGTGCCATACCTAATTTACCCGTTCAACCCTAAGTACATTTTAAACCGCCATCTTGGATAGGGTGCAAAAAAAATTTTTTCAGACTCATCTTTGGATTTTTCTTCTAATGACCTTTAAAATGAGAGGTCACAAGATGGGGGTTGTCGTTTGAACATTTTTAGTTACCCCCCACCCCCCCCTTGCCCTTAAGGGAAGTTTTATTTTCAAAATTTGTAAAAAGTGCCTAACATTTGTTATTAATCAGTCCCGCAAATTGATTTATTCTATCTACTATAGAAAAAAAGATAAAAAATGTGTGCCAGACTTAATTGACACACTGTACATTAATAGGCAAGCATGTTTCTTAAAAACATGTTTTCTCAGTTACTAGTCCTGAAAATATGTGTTTTTTTGGACAAGTGTGGTCGTTCCCGTGCGAGACGAAGTCTTGTGCGGGATTACCATACGAGTCCAACGGTAAGCACATTTTGGACGAGTGACGTACCATAGTTTACGCCATACTACTAAATCTGTACGAATCCTATATTAAATTACTACCAACTAAAGGACTAACAATCACTAGTCATAACCTCTATGAGAGGTTATGTTTTTGTTTATAACCACTCATCTCCAAATACCGTATAATCATCTGGTTGGTGTCCAGTAAAACGCATTACAGTACAGTAGTACGTAATGAAACCCCATTTGATTAAGCTGGTGGCAAACATTCCTGTAGGTGTGCAGAATCCCTTTATAAATTAAAATAGGCTCAAAAATAAGCACAAAAAAAATCGATTTAATTTTTTTTTTCTTACATGTGCATAATAATGGGTTGTCATGCTGGTGACGAAATAACAACGAAATCTATATAAATAAAATCTAAACAAATGGAAGAAATTCTAATCCCATGCTTTATTTAACGTGAGGTGGGGGATAGCAAAGTCTGTATATTACATATTTTTGGTCGAGTTTTCGGCCACTGCACGACCGCTAGTTTCTTATAATTTGACTATTACACATAAAAAAGATTAGATACAACTGACCAATTAATTGTCTTCTTATTTGCAGATTTTTTTATGTAAGAGGTGTCAAGTTCTGGGAAAATACCACGTCCAAATGATCCCCTGTACAATGTTGTTAAATATTTATTTGCTGTTAAACGTTAAATATCCTTTTCCACCAAAGCCCATAAATGTTAATGATTTATAAATTATAATGATGACAGTTGGAACATAAATTATAATGATTCATTGAAGCTAATAGTTGAAAGATTCAAAACAACACGTTTAGAGTCTCGAGGCACGCCCTAGCAATAACGGCGAGAATGTTATTGTGAAGACGACTGTAATGGAGATTCCAATGGCGTCTCCGATCCGTACTACATATATTATCGGTAACATGCCCCGACCACTCATGTATAAATATTTTATCGACCATGATATGACGTAAGCGATCGTTTGCGAACCTTTTTGAACGTGTATGAAGAATAGGGTAAAGCTGTTATCGTGAATTATTTACAATTTAAAATAAGGATGGTTCAATAGTGTATCAAAATTACGACACGTTCATATTATTATTTTGATAAAAAAAAAACATTGTTAGTGAGATATTTCGTACGCACGTATAAACCGATTTATTTCAATTATAATCTACTCTTGTTATAATTCAAAAGATTGCCTGTTATGTATTAGGCAATCTTTATGTAGCAGTATAATAAATATTTGCTTATGTAAGTAGGAATTAGAGTGTACTGCGAGTGTAAGTGTAATCTTAAATACTCGTTTATAGACATACACTGTATATGTTTAGGAACTGTCCTGCAGTGAATAATAGTTTTTTATGTGTTGTTGATGTGTGGGAAAGTAGGGTATGCGCCGAATTTGTACGTAAGTTAAACCCATTAACGAACAACAAATCGTATAAAATAAAATGTTATGTATTACAAATTTTTAATTTTTAGTATTTTTACTCCTAGGGAGAAAACAAATTCATTATTGACAATTCACTATTAGTATAAAATATAATTCAAAGGGCTACCGCAAGTTTCAGATGACTATGTATGGAAACAAATGTAATCCAACGCAACTAATTCTTTCTGTGGATTTTTCATTTTCATTTTTTTTTATTACTTTTTAAAGGGACTGCAACAGTTTATTTATTTACCAGCCTAATTTGTTTCCAATGTAATTATCGGATGACGACCAAAATAATATGTACGTGTTGATTAAAAGTGTTAAGTTACCAGTTGTTGTTGTCACTATGAAACTGATAATGTATTTTCAACAATCGTATGGATGATTTAAGTAACATTACATCATCCTTAAAATTTCTTAAAGGTAGAATCTTATGAAACTGGATATAATGTACTAGTGTCCGTTTAAAACATTGATACAGGTCAACATGAAAATACCTTAATTTGTATAGTAACTTGTTTTACTGAACGGAAATCAGTTATCAGTTTTAGGTTTTACATACTACTTAGCTTTTTCCATTGTAGATCCTTAATCAATAATCCTTAGTGATACGCACCATCCCTAACATAATAATAAATATCATATTACAAATATGTGAATCAAACTGTACCTAACACTAAGTAGTTGCTGACCGACATAGTCTGAGTATTGGAATTGATACTTATATTTATTACGGTATTCAAGATGAAACATTTAAACGATGGAGAAATAAACTGGATGATAGTGTTCACTACTATTTTTTTCAGACGTATAGTGCACTCAGGTCTGGTAGTTCTCCCAGCAATGCATTTTCTCAGGACATCGGCGCCTCTTCACATGGTGTAAGCCTTCGCATATTTTCTATTATTCGTGTGTTCCATTCCCATTCAAAGCCTTGTGTCATTTTCTCGTCGATCCTGGATTTAAGCTACTATTAGAAAACATAACCATGACTTAAAATTATATTAATACACTATTGATAAAAAGTATAGTATGACCCGATTGAAATTTTGACTTTTAACAGTAAAATTATATATAATAAGTCAGACATAAAATAACAACGGTCTGTTGTGAGGTGCAAGATAAAGCATGACCATGCAAGGCTTAGCCATTAATAAACAAGTATTTTGCTGTCACCACCCAACACAAAAGTATATCGCTGCACAGAATTTGTATGTTTTAAAGTAGGTGTGTTGATAAGAAATCATTGGCCAAACCTCTAGATCTATAAACACTAGTTTTCCCCTCAAAACGTCTAACATTTTAACTCTACCACTCTTATAATATGATATACATTCAACAACATTTATAGCTTTAAATAGTGTGTGTCTTAATACTTTGCCATTGTTACAGAGACTTCGATAACAATCGCATAACCAGTATTAGAACGAATGAGGTTAAATTAAAAGCAGAGCAATTGTAAGTATATCGCATAAATGTTTTTAATATTTAAATATTTATTTGTAATTTAAGTATGTAAAAATATGCTATAAAACAATATTTAAGAAGGTACAGTATAATAATATAAATCTGGTAATATAATTTTTCAGGTTACTGAATTACAACTCTCTTGAATATATCGAAAGCCACGGGTTCAACGCTTCTCAAATAGCTAAACTGTGAGTACCTTTAGCTTTCCAGTGGGCTTTTAGTTTATCATCGAAACTACTTTTGTTCATTTACTGTTTGGTATAGTGTCAAAGTCTCTTCGTTGATGATCTCTTCGCCATAAGAAAGCTGAAGTAGAAATATATCAGTAGAAAAAAGGAAAAAGATTAACTTAGTTGAGACTAACATCAAAATATCATTTGTCCCATGTTTTTAATTTTATTGAAAAGTCATTTGTCTTAGTAATATTATAAATGTGAAAGTTTGTGTGTTTGTTTGCTTGTTTGTTTGTTTGTTTGAAGTTCAATCACACATTAACTACTGGACGGATTGGGCTGAAATTTGGCATGATGATAGCTCACATTCCCGATTAACATATAGGCATATTCTTATCTCGAAATTCCTTTCGGGCTGCGCCCCAGTGGCTCTTTAGTTCCCCATGTTAGCCTTATGAGTATTCTATTTAAATGGAATTGAATAGTTAAGTCAGTTGTTTCAACTAAAAAAGTTGGTTCTATGATATGCAAAAGCATTAAAAAGTTATAAGATATACTAACAGAGTGCAGCACTATTATTATTTTTAATTTATGAAAACTGCTAATTTGAACTAAGCAGCAACAAAAAACTGTGATACAAAATGAGAACTGTAAAAGCAGGATTGTTTACAGTTATGTTATGTTCTTAATTTCATGGATAATTTGTGATTTTTTGCGATTTTTTTTAAATTAATTTCTTTCTAATGTTTAGGTGAAGTGTTAGAACATTTTGGTAGAACTGTGTCCTCCTCCATTGCAAACGCAAAGCTTGAGTATAACTGCAATAAGCAGTTTGTACTTATATGCTAACCCCGTACGAAGGACGGGTACTCTGCTAGTCATACAATAGGAATATGTGTTTGGAATCCCATTTTTATTAAACACATCAATTATCATGTGTTTTCATATTTCCGTATTGGAAATTTCAGGAGAAACCCAAGTGTAGTTGATACCTTATGTGAAATCTTTGCTTAATTGTGTTCACTCAAATGACTCTATTTTCTACTATTTTGTTTCTTTTTCTTAAATTTGCATTTTTATTTCATATTCATCAAGGTAACCCAAAAGACCAATGTTAAATTGTTCAATTATCAAATGAGTTGTATAATGTATATGTACTGATAGTATAATACGATTTTCCCTGAGGTAATGGTTTTCACTAATCTAAATTTTAGACACAAAAGCTTTATAAAGAACTTTCAGCAAAATACTTTCGCTGGAATTCAAAATAAATTATTTTATTTTGAATTCCTTCTTAAACAAACAGAAATACTACAAAAATGTTTACTCAAACTATAGTATACCATAGACATTAACTTGGTATATAGTTTTAAACGATAAGTTTTCATTTGGATTCTAATGTTAACTGTAAAACTATAGGGTTTGCCAGCACCAGCCCTGTTGTCCAAGTCAATTCATGTCTATGTCAATTTAGTCAAACCAAAGATATTGGTTGTCACAGTAACAAAGGGATAATTTACTGTTACAGAGCTTTCAAAGGAAATAGAAATCTACACTGGCTGCACAAGGACTGCTTCAAAGGGCTTCAAAGTTTGCGACACATGTAAGTTGAAAATACGAGCTATATCTAATGCTACACAAATACATTGTTAAAGGAGAATGAATAATCTTAACTGCATTGTTGCAAGATTAAGATAAAAAGATTAACATTGAAAGCTAATATCATTATGGAGCAATTCAGTTAAAAGTGTATTTACTCTACCCACAATCTATATCCATACTGTTATATAAAAATCGAATTTTGTCTGTCTGTATGTGTGTTACTAAATATCGTAAAAACTACTAGACCGTCTGGGATTAAATTTTACAAAAATATATCTACCATACCAATAATGGTAATAGGACAATTCACACTTTGGTACTGACCGTGGGTTTTGCCCCTTTGGCTTTAAAGGTTCTGGGATGAGGATTAAAGCAAATATTGATTGGTCTCTATGGCTGCAATGAGAACACTCAAATTTTTTTATTTGCACTGACATTTCAATGTAAACCAGAAGAACTGCCAAATTCATTTCACAATTTCAGCCAGCTGATCCAAATAAATTCAATATACATTATACACAACTATGTGGTAGGTTTATTCAATCTAAAACCGTATAATAGATTATTTATTCTATGTCTATGTAAAACCATGTCAATGATTATATAAATAAAAAAGATTCTATAACCTGTATCAGTCCAGACTCTGCTTTTGATTTTAAAGTGTCTAAGTTATGAAAATACTATAATTGATATATTTTATGGAAACAGTATGAAAATTAAAGTGTTAAGAAATTTTGTATGAATTTAAAGTTTTTTTTTCATAAATTTGAACTGTTTTACATATGTTGGATTACTTAACATAACTTGCACTTAACATTGACTTTTTTACATTAAGGTTGATTTAGTAATTGTGTTTCGCTACATCTATGCTTGAATTAAACTAAAGAATATCATAAATAACTAAATTTTACGCCATTGAGTTTTGTGTCCTAAAATCTGTAGTATATATGAAACCTATATTCAATTATTAAATGGTTATACAAAATACTCTTATATTGTCATATAATAGTTCTTATGTTTGAACTTATATTCATTATCTTATACTATAACATAGCTTGCAGTTCACATTTACTTGAATGCATTTCGATAAATTTATTATTTGTGTTTTGCTACACCGCTGATTAAATTAAACCTAGGAAGATATCATAAAACTAAGCTGTACATAGAGTTCTTTTGTTTCTTAAATCAGTGAAAAATCTGTTTACGTAATTTATGTTAAGTGAGCAAATACAAGATTTAATGGATGGAACTGATTAAAAGAACTGGTTTGTATATTATGTTATTCGTTGATATTTTTGTAGAGTAGAATCAGAGATCCAATTAAACATAATATAACATACTAACCTATACTATCATACAGAAGAAGTGGTGTTTGTCTGTGTGTTTGTATGAGCTAAACTAAAAAACTACTGAACCTATTTGTAAATTCTGTGATAATATTTTACAGGGAATAAGTAATTAAAATAAATTATTCATAGATATAGAAAATAATATAAAGATTGTATATTCATTGCTGTATTAACCTAGACTCTTATCCTGAGTTTTATGAGAATTATTTTTTAGATATATTTTTGTGTAAACGGTAATAAGATACCCCAGCCACAGCAAACCTGCAGACTAAGCGAATTTCCATTTGCCTGATTATAATTTCACTAACATATGTTGGAAAATCACACTATTGACAGGTTTGGAACTATTGTTAAAGCTTTTCATTTACAGTACAAAACATGTTATTTGATTATACCTTAAAATCATCATGATTTTGTATACTAGGTAGCCTAAATAACTGTTCACAGTCTGAGTTGACAAAAACGTACTATTATCAAGTTAAGTAATACAGTTCAATTTCGTTAACAAATTAAACGGTAGGTGTGAAACCATTTAAAGCCGTTTTCAAAGAACCAACATTATCTCTTCTGCCTACTGACACCATTGCAAGGCACGGGTATAGCTGCTAGTATAAAATAAAAATTTACTATTACATTTTTTTATTCCTTGATAATCATATTAGTTTTGTCTGCCGTCTTTAATGCCCAATTGCATTTGTAAATTAAATAATGTACTAAAGATATAAAACAAGTTTTCTTTATGGTTTCATTAAAAATAACTTCTTATTGGCATTACTTCTTATACGAGGTAAATTAATAATCTAACACTTTTTATAGTATATATATCGCTTTTTAATATTTCAAAAGAATATTGATAATGCACAATATTTCTTAAGTTTATAACAGCTTATGTTTGTGTTGCTAATGATTTATTGTGAGTGAAGATGGGGTGATGTGTAATTTAATTTGAAGAAGATTTACCTAAAACAACTTGTTCATTTACATTTAAATAATTAGTAGTTTTCAAACTTCAAGATTAAAATTTTAAATGTCAAAAAGAATGAAAAATATACGTAAATAATGGAGATGAAGGTAAATAATGTATGTGAAAATGTTATCAGAAAATTTTGTAAGTTATTCTCATATCAGCCTACACAAGATTTAATATTAATCAAAACCGCAAATGGTTGACCAAGTGGTTTCCACTACTTACCAGATCTAAAAGCCATAAACGTTTCTATAAAAGCCATAAAGGTTGAATTTTGTTTCTAAAAGCGTTAGTGAATATTTAACTATTTTATACAACAGATGTAAAGATCAAAATGTTTCTATTTCGTGTCCCTTTGCAAAGCACGGGTCCAACAGATAGTATACATAATTGTAATCCCCTCTAGTTTTGGAATTCAGGCTGATCTAATGGTAGAGAAAAGGGGTGTAGTCTCCGAGGTCCCGGGTTCAAATCCCTACAGTCGCCAATGGCTTTTAACTATGTGATAATGCCACGGTCCTCTAGGCACAGCTAAGGCGATGTGTAGAATCATTGTGTTAAGGAAGATCCAATCATCCTATGATATAAAGGAAATGCATAACAACAATTTAGAAAAGGCTGTACTATATATTTACAGTGAATTTAAGTCTAGTTTTTCTAGCTTTGTTATACTGTATTTGAAATTAATGTGAAAAACTACTTATAAAATACAATAAAACGAACGATTGAAAAACTTAAATTGGACGTTTTGTTCACGAAAGCAATAAAAGTTCCTTAATTTGGTGAAGTAAACTTTTTAAAGGCCGCATTTATCTGTTTCATTAGTCCAACACATTGAACTATCAAGTGTGTTATTTACTTCCTTCTTTTGATTTTAGTTATAGGTTAGTTATTTTTTTTAATATTTCGACAAGCTACAACTCTACATATAAATGATTCCGAAGGAGATCGATTCTGGAACAACAAGTCGATTGTAGTCGAGCTATCAATTGATGCTGTTAAAAAAGTCGTTGTTATCATATCTTTTGGATTGCTCCTCTAGAAAAAAATATAAACTAGATTTTCATATCTTTATTTTTTACTCAATTAATAAAAAAAATTGAATGTAGTGTCGACATTTTCTAATGTTTGGGCTGAAAATCCAATATTATTTCCAATATTCAGATCCAATATCCAGTTAGAATGGAAAACAATCTAATTTCCATTATCTGTCCAATCTGGCAAAAATGGAATGAGAGATTGGACAGTAAATGTAGGTATAAATTTATACTGACTACCGATACAACGTGTAACCTTTGACTGTATCCATTAGTTAATCATGTAACTCAATAGATAATTGTGTTTCTTAAAATAAACCATCACACCGAACGCCGGATCTTATTTCATTATATAGCATACAAACCCCATACTAATAATATATAACCAATTACTGGACCTGATTGGGTGATTGTATTTGCTCCTATCTGTAATCCAAACCATATACAAACCTGATCTCTAGTTTTTAAAAGTTGTTTATAATAAATTCAAGTGAGCGTATTATTTGTACGTCATCGAATTTGAATGGACTTTAATTAAGAAAACTTTTCACTCCATCATTTCTGAACTGGATTGGCATTCCCACTGATCAGACACGTACTATGGCCCTTCCAGCTGTAGTATAATTCTCTCCACGCTATAACTCTCCCTGTATTATAACCCTATCTGTAATACAAACCGCTCCTGTGATAATCCTCCCTATACTGTAACTCTCCCTTCGTGGTATGTTACAGAGACCTGTCAGAGACCGCCATACGTCGGCTTCCCACTGTAGGACTGCAGGAGTTGGACGAGCTGCGTCTCCTAGACACCCCGGCACTCAAGGTCTTCCCCTCCGTGTTCCACTTCAAGGTACGAGGTATATGCTACTTGAACTGCAAACTTATAAATGGTGAGAAAAACGTAACGGTACAGTTAAACATTTCAAAAATAATCAAGACAGAGCTACAAAATTTGGTTCATAGCTACTGGGCATCAACATAATTTTGACACATTACTCAGTGATACGCTCCCCCCTCAGTGGGACGGTCCGCTAGGAGTCAGAAGAAATCTTAAATGTAAGCATAGGTATAGCATTCGTGATATGTGCATCGAATTAGGTAAAGACCCTTACAAGTAAAATACAATGCCGCAAATTTGAACTCAAACGCACACTCGAGTTAGAAATGGCAGCTGTTTAAAGATTTCTTGAACCTGCCATTTTAAATCTTTGAAGGTCTGCCATGTTTTACTCAGTTACTCTTTTGAGCTCACAATTACGGAACTGTATTCTACTAATGAAGACCTTTAATTTGGGGTGCATATCAACCTATGATTAATATTAAGACAATCTTCCGACTCCTAGACAATCTTCCGACTCCTAGACAATCTTCCGACCCCTAGACAATCTTCCGACTCCTAGCTAGTCATACACCTGAGGAAGTAGCGCACCACAGAATAAAGTGTTAAAATTACTTTAATGCTTGGTAACTTTGTACCAAGTTTTGCAGCTCTATTTTGATTATTATTTGAAATATCTGACTGTCACGGGACTTTTATTTCCGCCCTGTCGATTTCATCACCAACACATTGCTAACACATTGTAAAACATTGCTAATGGCAAATGACACATCCCATCTAAAGAGATCAGCTATATTCAATTTTTTGTTCAAACCGGACAAGTCTAATAAGGCACACACGGAGGGTGCTACCATGGCTTGGGGTGCTACCAGGGCTTGGGGTGCTACAGTTAAAATTTAAATTTAGTATTTTACTTTTTGATACTACGATAGTTGATGTGTCAAAACAGAGCAGAAATCTATGGTATGGGTCTTTCTGCAACCTATAAGTATCTATGAAGTGATTTTAAAAAATGTTAAAGAATCTGGTCTGCGGAAAAATTAACGTTTTGAAGTAGGACGTTACCAAAGATTAATAACTCTTTAATAAAAGTAAATGCGCCTGTGCAATATGTTGTTATGTACAAATAGCCTGTGCGCCAATGTTATGTTTTCAAGTTCAGAAAAACTATAATGAATCATGCTTATTCATAAACTCATTCAAAGTTTAAAGCTTAAACTTGCATGGCCATTGTAGCTGACTAATGCAGAAGTTTCGGAAACAATTGTTTAGCAGAACTGTATACTGTAACTGTCTCTCTCACAGCACATTCATTGTCGTGGGAAAATTGAATAACGTACCAACAGGTTCTTGGGTTCCATTTGTCTAGTGTCCAATACAAGGAAGTGGAGTACCATCGACATCCTCTAACAAATGTGGGTATAATTTGTTACACAATATACGCTACTCCATTCCTTGTTTCACACAACAAACGGAATGTATCAACTGTATTATTATCAATAACCTTAGATGTATGAAAATCAGAGTGGAGAACATTCATAGATAAACAAGTTTTGTTCCTTAATTTTTGAAATTGTTAAAGATTTACAATGTAGACGTATTCTACCGGTTGTTATCGAACCGTGGAATGGCATCAACTTTTTATCTCACTTGGATGAATAGCCAATATTTGTATTTTAATTTATCACCCTTTTTCAGTATATAAGAGAGGTGTCCCTTACGTACCCATACCATTGCTGCGCCTTCCAGTTCCCCGCTACACACCATCCTCAGGAATATGAAAAACACCAGGTAATTGTAAACGGTTCGTTATAATTTAAGTACCACATTTTTAGCGAATTTCCCTATAGGGAAGTAGCTATTACCGTAGGTGGCACGGTAAGACCTAGACCCGGGACCGATTTACTTTTTCATTTTGATGTCCCCAGAGGCCAAAAACACTATTCGTTCAAATTTTTATATATGTATATATATATAGACATATATATATATATATATATATATATATATATACGTCCGTGAACGCGATAACTTGAGTAATTTTTGTCCGATTTTGATGAAATTTGGTTTAAAGGTGTAAAGCGGGATAAACTTGAATGAGTTCGCGAACCAGCATGATCGGACCATGGGAACGGGGCTTTACGGGGGGTTTTATGGGGTAAAAATTGGTTTTTCTCACTTTTGACCCTCAAAACACAAAATTTCCCAATTTCTCTTTAGACCTTTTTAAAGAGCTTAAAAAAACAAATAATTTAGTATATGAAAGTATTTTTGTTTGATTATTAGTAACGGAGAAAATTAAAAAAATTGTAAATTTAAAATTCCCATGTTATTCTTATGGAGAATATTGTCAAATGTTGTAGTTTGCTTGTTTATGAATATATTTTGATCAAACTTGGCAAATTTATTTATTTTCTACTAAGCTATCAATATTTTACTCAAAAACACACTTTATTAGTTTCCTTGTAGCAGCAAACCTAGGTACTCGTTAAACCTAATGTTATTAAAATATATTTAACTGAAAATCAATTCAGACAAATGGAAATTCGCTTAGTCGGCAGGTTTGCTGCGGCGGGGGTATTTATATACTTTAACTACTTGTATTTTAAGTTTTTTTTATAAGGACAAATTTATGCATAGGCAAATAGAACAAGGATAAATAGGCCGACAGCAGTGCTGTAGTTAAGATAAGTTCTGGCGTCCACCGCTTGGAGTGCTGTGTAGTTGAGTAGCACTCCTATCGGTGGATGCCAGAACTTGTGCTAACCACAGCCCTGCTGTTGGTCTGTATTTAGTTCTATTTGTCTATGATTTAACAAAGATGAACATTACACACCTCAAAAATGACAATAGGTGAGGAATTAATACAATTTTAGTCATTTAAGGTTTTAGAATTACTATATTGAAAACATACAAAAAATATAGTAGTATACTGTGGAAGTAGGCTTTGGTATTGTTTTATTGCTACGTTCATCTTATTATTGTAGCACTCATGTCAGTTAAGTTTGTATAAAAAACATTGATTTATTGTTTTATTAGGAGTTCTTTTTGTTGGTTACTTTTATAGTATTTAATGTGTTATTTATTGGTTTTGATGTTGTAAATTACAATTATTTGCAGTGATAATCTATTTATCTTGATTCACTGTGTAACTGTGTACCTAACTTTGGGTAAAATATTTACTTTACATTACTTCAGTACAGTTAAATAAAGCTCGTAATTGTTGTAATAAAACGGGCCTTGTGCGAGTTGTAAAGCATGAAATAATTATGTTATGTTTACTTTTGTTGGTGATGGGCTTTCACGACACAATGCAATTTAATTACATTTAATCTCTCCCTCCTCCCGGTGTCAAGAACACTACCAGAAAATTGGAAATGTTAAATGTAGGTCATCAAACAATAAACAAAGAGTAACTAAATGATTGATAATTTGAGTTTAAAATACACCTTATTTATAAAACACTATTTGTTCATGCCACACTTTGCTATAACACGTATATCTGGTCAACACAATAAACATTTTTTCTTGTTTGAGTGAGACATTTTCGTTCAATTGAACACGATACTTTTATGTAAGTGTAACCTAAATAATTAGTAACCTAGATAACTTAAGAATTGTTATGTTTTACAATTTCATTATACTAGCATTCGCACTGAATTCTTCTCTAATCCCACTTATTGAGGTACACGACATGGTTAATTCTGCGTAGTAAGTGCATCGTTGATAGGTTCTTACTTCAGGAATATATGTGGGTTTACATTTTAGATTATTTACCTTTTCAAAATAGAATGTTAAGTTATTTACGTTTTATTATGTTAACAGGACCTATTTGAACACTATTTTTTAAGTAATAATATTGCCATTTACGATTTTGGTTACCATACTTTTAGTGTCCATACTTTTAATAAGAAACTTTGAAGCCCAGTAGTATGGAGCATTGAGGGAATTATTTAAAATAATTCTTTGAACGAATTTACGAGCTGATTGGAAGGTGTGTTTCACATTTTTTTTATGACAATATTTAACTATCTGACAAATTGTGCGTAGAAAAACAGTCAATCATGTTTATAAATACCCCTGCCACTGCAAACCTGCATACTAAACGAATTTCCAATTGTCTCGTCTTCACTCAAATATTTTTTTTTGAGATGTTAGAAATTTTTTTATTTATATAACATTAAGATTAAACGAAAACTCAGGTTGACTGCTACAAGAAATTAAAAATAAAGTGTGTGTTTTTTAATAGAAATGTTATTTATTCGTATAAAATAAATTAATTTACCAAGTTTGATCAAAATAATATATCCATAAAGAAGCAAAGTAGAACAGTTTACTTATTATTTCTAAGAACAAAAAGGGAATTTTTAATTTACATTTGATTTATTTCTCTCCGTAACTATTTGACATAGACATACAGCAACGCATAACATTTTTTTTTACTCTAAAAAAATTGTTAAGCTAGTAAAAAGTTTTATGTGTTGAGGGTCAAAAATAGGAAAATCCAATTTTCACCCCGTAAAACCCCCAATAAAACCCCACTACTCTACAATTTGATAGCTATTGTTATACATATTTTAGTTTCATAGGTTTAATTTATAGGCTTGATACGTTTATAAATAAAATAAAACTCCATTTGACTTATCTGTGAGCCGTATCCAACTGCAGGGGATTTCAGTTATTTATAAAGTTATTTTAATATTTATATTAAATAACATTATCATCGGAGATGAGTTGGCAGGTGAAAGCATTGCCATAACGTTATGTTGCCATAACGTTATGGTTCTGATGATGATCAGGCACAAACTTCTGATGATCGGCACAAACTCGTATGAAACGTTTTTACCGAATTTTAACAAAATAGGATGAATCGTACTCGAGTTATAGCTAACAGGCTCACACACTCACAAAAAACAATACTTAAACCAATTGTAATAATGCAAAAACTTACATTAAAAACTATTTGTGGTGTAAAGAAATTTGACTCAGCTGCACCACTGTTTCAGTACTTAGACGTAATGCAGCTAGAGAAGATATATTTATATTCAATTTTATGTTATTATAAAAAGTTTACTAGTTTATTTCAAACAGTTGTTATTAATAGGAATACGAGAAACTATACTGAGGGTATGCTTATGCTACCACCTGTTATGAAAGACACAAGCAGGTTACAGTGTTACCATAAAGTAGTAAAATGTTTTAACTTTAATTTTAGAGTACTCAAAAATATTCAGGATTTGAAAATTGAATTATATAAAAGTAAATTAAAGGAATTGATAAAAAAACAACTCAATCAAACAAACAAAGTGAAATAATTAATTATCGAATGTAGCCTATACCGTTAAACGATTTGTAAATATAAACTAGTATGTAAGAGCGAATAGCCAGTGAAGGGATGAACCATAAGTGTTTGAGAAAAATCAAATTAGATATTAGGTATCAGTGACAGTGAATTTAAAGTTAAACAGAAAAAAAGACAGTTAAAATAAAATGAACCTACTCAAGACAGTGTTTAAAAAATATAAGTATAGTTTTAAGTTTTTCAACCGCGCGTGTTTTACAACACATGGTTGAATATTTGTATAAAAAAATGTTTTGTTATGTGAATAAAGATTTTTGAACTGAACTGAACTGAACTGAAAAAAAACACACACAATCGGCCAATAAAACCAACCGGTATATGTATTTGAACGGATAGTGTTTTTGGCCTCTAGGGGACATTAAAACGAAAAAAGTAAAGCGGTCCTAAATTAAGTTGAGATCTTACCATGTGTTATGTATCAAGAAATAAGTCCATATGTTTTATTTATAACATCTGTCAGATGACTGTTTACATTATTATGTTTTGTTTACTTTTTAGTTTAGTCTGATTTGTGAGTTCAATAAATTCAGTTGTGTTAATTATGTTTTAATTTACTAAACTGGCGACGAGGATAATTGGATAATGGATCTCAATAAGCCTGATCGTTTTGACCCCCATACAAATCCTGCAAGTGTCGCACAGCGTTGGGGTACATGGATTAAGCAATTTGAGAGGTATGCTTTAGCTGCAGACATTACCAGTGATGTAAGGAAAACTGCACTAGTACTTAATCTAGCTGGTGAGGAAGTGGCTTACATTTTTGACAGTTTACCACAACCTAATGAAATAACGTACAAAAATGTTATAAAACTATTAACTGACTATTTCGCTCCTACCAAAAATGTCCTTTTTGAAATATTTAATTTTAGGAAGTGTCATCAAGCAGAATCAGAGTCGTTTAACTCTTTCTATTCTCGACTAAGAACATTAGCTGTGAACTGTGAATTCAAAGACTTGGATAGGGAATTAATTATGCAAATTTTGATTGTAGATCTTCAGGATGTTGTTATTGCAGCTAAGTCAAATGAATTATTTCAAACTCAAAGTAAGGAACTTTCTTTCAGTAGCTCAAGTTTTGCTAATGTACATAAAATTGACCATTCAAACAGGAAATTTGTTGCATTTAACAACAATCCAGCTCACTCTGTTACACCTAATGTTTGTCTTGGTTGTGGACTAAGACATTTTAGAAGGGATTGTCCCCATCTTCAGACTACTTGTAATATTTGTAAGAAAATTGGGCATCTAGCACGAGTTTGTAAAGGAGGGAAACCACGCCCCAAAGAATATTTTAGCCAAAAACACGGATCAAAGGGACAGCGGGCTCATGAAGTTTTGTCAGAGGAAACCAATTATGAACAAGAAGAAACGTTTCCACCTCAATCAAATAACGAAACAACTCAATACGTCCAGGAAGTTAACTGCACTA